ATTTTCATGGGGGGCACTGGCTCTGTGCCAGGCTCAAACCATGACAGCCAGGCTCCACTGGGCTCAGCTGCTTTCATCACCCTGAGCCACACTCTCCTGAGGGATGGGATGGGAAGGGCAGGGTCTTCATGGCTGGTCCTGGCTACCTCTCCCAGAGAGAGAGTGGAGGGCAGTGTTCCACCCGGGTGTGTGCTCACCCTTGGCTTCCCCTGAAGCCACACCTCGTGGTGACCTGTGTGTTATAGAACAGCAGCCTGGGCAACCCATGTGGCTCTGAGCTCCAACCCCTCTCTGAAACCAGGGTCTTCTGTGTCTCCTCAGATGGGTGTCTGAGTCAGTTGTGTGCTTTAAACCCATGCAGCAATTAATTTATTGTGCTGAACTCATCTTTGTTTCTACTTTATCCGTATGCATTTGTCTTTTATGTGTCTGCTTCCATATGTAATTTTTGGTTGGTTATTTTTGTATTCTGGTGCTTCTTCATTATTCTTTTTCATATTTTCCTTCTTTCTCACTGACCTATTTTTTGGCATCTATTGTATTCATCAGTGATTTTCATCTAGCATTATATGACAGGTTCTTCTGTAGGAGTTTATAGGAGACATGCTGGGAAAAGATTTCATTTGTTCTCTTTGCAACTGTGCTTGTGTCTGAAATTGTGTTTAGATGTGATAGGAATGCAAAGAAAGACTCTGGTGCCTCTAAATGTTGCCTGTGCCCAAACCTGCCACATTATTATCAGCTTAAATTTCTGCAAATCAGAAGAAGACAAGAATGCATTGTATTTCAGAGTCTTTTACTGGGCAGTAATTATGAATAGTAGATATCAAGTGTACTTAATGTACTTGAATTAATGTCATTGTAACAAAGTTGCACAAAATCATCAGCACCAGAAGTTAATTTTACCTTTTGGCTCCACTTAGGAAGCAGCCATATATAAACAACCAATAAAGTAGAAAAGAAACCGTTTTCTAACCCTAAGTTTTCAAAGGATTATCAAGTTAATGGCTGCATTTTTATTCTGGTTTTGTAGAAGACCGTACTCAGTCAGTGAATATAATTTTAAATTAAATGATTCCTTTTAATTTTATTACTCTTTTAGAAGTCTCATTACTTGTGGCCCTATTTTGCTTTCATCATCCCTGTTTGGTTTCAACACACATTCTAATCTGACGTGATATACTGAGGATGAATTATGATAATGAATATTCAGAAAAATATAACGGAATACTGGACTTTTTTCTAAATGTCTTAATATGATGTAAATAGGTAAAACCCCCTTGATTGTGTTTTCTGTTAAAAATGCTATTACAGAATTGTTTGCTGGTGTTAAATTACCTGAAAATAGTAGAAAGAATGAAAGAATATTATGTGACATCAACATTAAAGGATGTGACATATATATATATATATATATACATATATATATATATATATGTACATATACACTGTGTTTGGTCTAAAATTCTGTCAGGTTTTGTATCTTACGCTGTTGGTACAAAATACTGGAACTTCTTTCAGTCCCCATAATAGTTAAGCAGTAAAACTCCAGCTCATGAATGTGTCACCCTTCCACCGCTACTGAGAGTCATGTTGATTCTTACAGAAGTAAATGTTGTTTTGGGAAAGTTCTTGGAAGAACTTGGTGGTTCTTTTTCAACAAAAAATTGTTTGAACTAATTTTGTGAAGTTTGTTAAAATGTTGGGGGACTTTATATTTTTTTCAAAGTGTGCAGTTCGTGCAGCTACGGAAGGCAGAATCCTTGTTCTGGAAGGCTTGGAGAAGGCTGAGCGGAACGTCCTGCCAGTGTTGAACAATTTGCTGGAGAACAGGGAAATGCAGCTTGAAGATGGTCGTTTTCTCATGTCTGCAGATCGTTATGACAAACTTTTGCAGGTATGGAAATGCTGTTTGAATTTTCTTTTTTTTTTTCCTCCTCTTCTTGGTAGTGCTGGAATTTTGTTGTGAAGGAGTGAGTACTTAGGAGTCAAATGGGGGAAATTTCACCAAGGTTTCAGTGGTTTTTTTCCTATGTTGTCTACGTATGAAAAAGAGTAGTCCATGTTAACCTTGTATGAAGCCTGTATGTTTCTAAAATGGGAAAGCCACAATGTGAGAGTAACTAAAATGTCCTTGTGAAAAGATATTTAAGATGAACTTGTTGCCATGAAGTTCAGATAATGCTTCAGCATGGCAGTAGTCTTGTTGCTAAGCTTTTAAAACATTAGGATACCAAAAGAATGAGGTCAAGATGAGTATCTGTATATTCAGTCAGTATATTGGTGCTGTTTTGCCTTTAATTTACAAAAGTATATGTAAACAGCAGTCTAAACTACAGAAGATGGTTAGAGGCTTTTCCTTTGATTGGAAATGGATTTCAGTGTGTGCTGTCATTAGTGCTTTAAGCCATTTTCATTTCTTTGGGCTTTGAGTCCCACTGCTTGGAGGGATACTCTTCAGGCTTTTTCTTTTATTTTTTGACAGTTTCAGTAGTACTTTGCACCTTAGTTCCATGTACTGTAGTTTCCAGTCACATACCTGTCAGTCTGTTACCTGCTTCCTCATGTTTCTATTGTCACACCTGTGGTTAGGTGTATGATTCAAACCCATGTGGCACAGCAAAGAAATTTGCAATAAGCCTTCAGACACTGATGTCCATCATATTAGGTTGCCAGCTGTGCTGAAGTACCATAAAAAAAAAATTGTAGTATTTAATTGGTAGATGCAATTACTGGAAGCATTATTATTATATTTCAAAAACAAGCTTTTAAAATGTAATTGTATTTAAAAAATTAAAATGAGAATTCAAACTAAGATTTGGTTGTAAAACATCTTTCTTCCTTTTAAACACTTTTTGGATGATTAAGTGTTTCAAAACTACGGGCCTCAGGCGCACTGATAATAGTATATGAATTAAATAAATCTCTTGCTACAATGCTAAATTTAATATTGTTGTTTTGTTGTTTGGGAACTATTGTATTATATAAACTAATGTTCAATTTTGCTTCTCCTGTGTGAATAATTATTGAGCATTTAGGTCTGAAGGAAATGTATTCATGTATAGTTTCAGGGAGGACTTAACTGTGATGTGAATAGAGAGCATTTTTTTATGTCAAGAATCCTTTACTTGACATAATACAACATTTAATGTCCTAATGACGGAGAATAATGAAGCTTCTAAAATGGAGATTTTAGTTGCCTTTACACTTATAAGAGAGGGAAATAAAGAAGAAAAAACCTTGTTCATTGTAACACACTTTTAATGCTTTAGAACAAAATATATTTTGTGAACAGTTTATTTTCTTTTCTTTCTAAAAAGGTCTGAAAGTTATACCTTAGTCATTTTTTCTATGTTCATTTTGGAAAAAATTGTTTTTATCATCCACATATTTGACCAGTTCAAGTCTCTCTAGTTATTGCATGAAAGACGAGAACATTTGAGAAATTACCACATTTAGGCTACGGACTGGGGCTTTTAATTGAGCTGGAGCTTAGTCATCATAAGTTTTTAATGATGCAATGTGGCCTCTTTTTTTCCTGTTGCTTTGTTTTAATTTATTTAGGAGCATACCAAATCAGAGTTAGATGCATGGAAGATTGTTCGGGTTAGTGAAGATTTTCGAGTGATAGCCTTGGGCCTGCCAGTACCTAAATACTCTGGTAACCCTTTGGATCCACCCCTCCGCTCTCGATTTCAAGCAAGAGATGTTTATCATCTGCCCTTTAAGGTGAGTGTGGTAGACTGGATCATTTGTATTGACTAGAGATAATATTCTGATGTTGTGTTTTACTTACCTCATCTCTGAAAAGAGTTCTTGAGTAACACATTTTTCTTGAGGTGCATTTTTCATATTTTCATATTGCATAGTAAATTCCTGACAAGTCTTAGAGCTGCCATGGAATGTTGCAGCAGAAAAGTAAATTCCATAGCACGGCCCATTAAAGAAAGAATTTCATCTTTTTTTTTATTCTTAAATAAAATTAATTTTGTGTCAAGGAGTGAGTAGAATCCTCATGTCTAAATTAGAGGAAAAGCTAGAGAATGCTTCATATCATGACCTGTGACCCACAATATGATGCCAAAATTAATTTACTCTGTGATTTTATGTTCTATTTCCAGGACCATCTTCAGCTGTTATATTCAATTGGATCAAACATTTCCACAGAGAGGTAATTTTTCATAATTAAAAAAAGAAATTGAATGAAGAAACTATGTCCTTTCAGAATTCCATGCTATTTTTGTTTCTCTATAACTGCATAGAGACCAGAAGTGAAGAAATTTTTAATATGTGTGGGCAGATGCTTGCACAGCTTTTTCTATGCAGCCTTCATATAATGAATCCTTAGTGCTTTAGAACTTCGGTCACACCTTACTTGTGTGCGCTCAGAAGTAGTTTCAGCATCTTTTACTATATTTAACTTTTTATGCTCTAGTATTTTAAATACAGATAGCATGTATAAAACTCTGTAATTACTTTTTCATATGCAGAATTTCTCAGCTCCTGTCTTTTGCTACAACTCTCTGCTCTCAAGAATCTTCTACACTGGGACTTCCAGATTTTCCTTTAGACAGCTTATCGGCTGCAGTTCAGATTTTGGTATGTGCATACATGTGCTGTGAAATTGTATGGGTTTAAAATTGCTCAGAATTAGATTTGGTTCATTCATGTTGTTAGAAGAAGATTAATGTGAATATTTGAAAAAAAAAACCTGAAAACACTAAGAATAGTTTGAGGGAGAAAATTCTCCAAACATATAGCATAATACTGAAGAAAAAAGTATGGTATGGCATAAGATTTGTGTTGTTATTAAATATATGTATCTTTGTGCTCAATTTCTTATTTTACCCACTCTGGTAAATCACCTTACCAGACTTCAGGACATCTACAGTTTATCTGATGGCACTGAGGTAGCAAGTAGAGAGAAAAAAAAAACCCACAAGTTAAAAGTGCTTTGTATTTAATGTTACATATGTGAGTCAGATTGATTGCATTACAAAGAAACCTGCTGCTCTCCACTGACACCCTAAAGTACCCAAAACAAATGTGGGCATAGGAAAGAGTTAAATTGTATGAGAGGAGGCCTACATTGGGTCTTTGGGCTGACTGGTGAATTTAGAAGAAACAGAAATGGAGAATTATGTGAAGTCGCAGGCTGTGCAGTCTCAAAGATGCAGTGCTTCCTGACAGCTAAGTCCAGAGAGAAATAGGGATTGTATATCCACAGAGTTCACAGGGACAGGTCAGGCAGCTCAGGACTAAAGTTGGGTCAGTCTTTCTGCTTTCCTGGATAGTCCTTTGTCCCTTGGACTTTATAATTCCATGGTAAAAAGTCAAAGACAACATGGAAGGTGCCTCCTGACAGAAGTCAGGAACATGAGATCTGTATAGAGAGGGGTTTGTGCCCTTTCATGTGCAGGAACGCAACCCAGGGGGGTAAAATGCCAGGAGAGTTTATTAGACCCACTCTCCAAGGTGCAGGTGTCTGTAGAAGGAACTCTAGATAGTTCTCTGCTGTCTTATGTGCAGTCATTTTATCTATGGTACTGCTCAGCAGCACTTCACTTCCTACATATTTTATTGGATTATTAACATTAAAGCATATTAATTACTTGTGTTACTGTGGTGCACAATCCCCTCAGTTGTGCTGGATACTTACAGAGAGAATTTGTTTTCTGAATTAGGGGTCCTACATTAGATATTAAGAAGTGGTGAAAATTCAAGCTCAGTGAAATGAAGTAGTATTTGAAGGGCTTTGGGAAAAATATTGTTGGATTTTGAAATAAATTGCTAATTTTTATTCTTTGAGCTGCAAAGTGAAAAATTATTTTTAAATGAATGCCAGATGGCTTTCAGAGTAACAGAAAGAAAATGAGCCCTAAGCTATTATCTGAACTATGGAGTGAAGGAAGCATTTTATTTTACATTAGAGAATGTGAACATTGTATGAAAATGTCTTTTTAGGTAAATATAAACTGTTTCTTTTAGAATTAGTTTTAATCACTTGTATTTCTAAGCTGTGCTCAGTGATTTCGATCTACATCATTTTCCTTATGCTGAGTCAGTGCCAAACTCTGCTTCAAGTTTAGTTAGTCTGTTTAAAAGTGTGAAGAGAGTGCATTGTGATGAGTAGTTTATTAAGTTTCTTATCTTCTGTCATAGAGTCACACAGTTCCAAAACATAATTTCTTAGTTTGAGTACTCCTGCCTCACAAAAGGGATTTTTTTTTGGTAAGGTCTTTTTCTGAAGAGGCTTATTTTATACATTCCATTGTAATTATTACTAATTTGAGATAATGTGGAAAAATTATATGGTATGTCTTTATATGTAAATGGAGGACTTTTAAAATGCATTTAAGGGCTCCGTGATCCTTAAAACTGTACATTTACTATAGTGCAATAAATTATTTATTTTTACTGGGGTTTTTTAATGTGGAACATTATAAATAGTGTTACTGTTTATAAATTGAATTACGCATTTCAGAAAATATGCATCTCCTGGTTTCATTTCCAAGGAACTCTTCTTTCAGTTGCGTGCTTATGTAAATCCAAGTGTATAACTGAAAATCAGTTTATTTTATTTCAATTGCTTTATTTGCTTTGAAGGCTTGAAAAGATAGTGCTGGTCAAATGACTGTTGTCCACTAGTGTTTCACACAAATAGTCCTTAAAAATTTGCAATTCAGTTTCGAAGCAAACAATCTATACTTAATCAATTGAGAGAGAGTTTGAAATGCCTTTTTTCTACCAGGAAAGGCTTTATGCAGAGTGTCTTCAGTAGTCATAAATGCATTTCTCTTTCTTTATTGCTGCAGCAAAATAGTCAAAAGTGTTTCTAGTTCAGGCAGCAATTGACAGAAGAGTTAGTACTTAAATCTAATAGGGAGATAGTAAAAAAAAAATAAAAGGTTCAATATAACAGAATCAAAATTAAGTACTATAAATTGCTGTGAATGTGTAGATTATTACTGAAATACAGATTTCTTGTCATATGGTTTTTTTTCTAGTACTGTGAAACTCATTTACCTGTGGTGGGATTTGTCTGTCTTGGCCATATTTGTCTTTAGGTATCAGAGCCAGTCACTGTAGCTTCCATTTATGCACAGGAAAGAAAATAATTTTTAGAACATAGTTCTTCTAATCTACTTTGGACACTTAAATTATAATTAATTATTCCTGAGGAGTGCCTGTTTTGACATCTAGTCAAATACTGCTTGTAGTGGTCCTTTGTATATTTCCCTTACAGTCTTATTTTAAGTTCAAAGCTGTATATTTCCCTTACAGTCTTATTTTAAGTTCAAACCCAAGAATTTTGGGTTAATGGCTGGTGATAGAATGAGCCAATAATTTTTTCAATTTTTTAAAATTTGAATTAGGATTCCTTTCCTATGATGTCAGTCCAGCATGTTATTGACCGGCTTTACCCCTATCATCTTTTCCTTGGAAAGGAAGGCCGAACTGCAGTCAAAGACATGTTAAAAGTAAGTATTGAATATATATTTATATTATAATTCTAGGGAGTGATGGATTATGGCTGTAGTTCTCCTGATTAATGGTATGTCCTGGTTTAGGGCAAATTTATGAGGAAACTTCGGAAGTGGTCTTTTCCAGAAAGCAAATTCAAGTGGCCTCTCCCCCAGCTGGTGCGGGAGGTAAACCTCCTTTGAGAAAAGTGGAAAAAGTTGTTTATTTAACAAGCAAAGCACTCACAAACATGGAAAAATAAATAACATTAAACAATGGAACCTCTTGCTGTTCTGAAGAGATGGCAAATTCAGTGTCCTTGTATGGGCTGCAGCTCAGGTTGCTCAGTCTCTTGTCAGTCCCTCCTGCACTGGAAAGCACTGCATCCTGGGGCCTGCTGGGCCACAGCTGGGAGCTCCTGGTGTTTTTCTGGGTTTTCAGCAGGGCTGAACAGTTCCGAGAAAACAAAAAAATCAAACACAGTCCGGGGAACATCTCTGCCTCAGTTAGCTAAAAAGTAACTAAAAGCAAAGGAAAGCCCTGTCCTGCTGTCTGTGCTGCAGACAACGTGCACTGAGTGAGGAATGGGAGGGAGTGAAAATGAAGCTTCTGTGCTCACAAACTGCGCACCACTGCTTCCCCCTCCCTTTGCTCTTGGGTCTGGTTGTAAAGGTGTAGAACTTATTTCTGGGCTAAACAGATGAATGGGGATACAATTCAGCACCTGGTACTTCAGGTCATGGTACTTCATCATTTCTGTATAAAAACAGGAATCTTAAGTAAATTAAATGGCTACAGTATTGCTAATGCTTACAACTTTTGTAACAGTATTTTTAAAAGCCCTCACAAACTAGTTAATTTCATTATAGTGAAAGGTGAAACCTCTACGATCTTTGGAATATTTAGACCTCAGTTAAAGACCACAGAAAAGTCCTCATTATATAATAAGTGGTTAATAATTTGAAAATAGTTATTTGTATTGTTAAGGTAATGCATAAAAAATACCTCTGGCATTTGACATTTAAGAGAAGATTCTAAAAAGACTGTAAATATCACATGTACAAAATACATTCACTATTGCATCATTATAGATTGTATTAGTCTCTGGATTTGGTCTGTGTTACTTTTTGTTGCTTCTTGTTGGTCAGATCTGTTTTGTCGGTTTGTCCATGTTTAATAGTAGCTTACAAAGCCTATAATTATGATGGGTTATTTTATTTATCTTTTAAAACTTAAGCACAGTGTCATCTTTCTTTAACTTTTAATATGTTGTAGCAGTTACATATGTTGCTGAAAATTAGCATTAAAGCATTTTAACCAGCTCTTTCAGTCCTGAAAATTAGATATTATTTCTACGTTCATATTTAGAAATAACCAGCTTTGTAGCTAGCAATTTGGTTTCCCTAAAACCAAGTTTATGTGCGAGGGAAATGTTTGCCTGACATCCCTGCTGACACATTCTTCTCTCCCCTCCTTTTTGCATTGGAGTTCAGTCCTATATTCCCTATGTAACTGGGCTGCTCTCCTACTTGTCTTCCTCAGTTTTGGGATGGACAGTCCTTGCATTTGATTAGAAGGTTGTCCTGAATGACTTGCTAGCTTTTCTGAACCATCAAAGCTGACTCTGTGGGGTCCTACCTACCACTTCTTCAAGTAAGCCAGTATGGCCTGAAGTCCAGGACCAGAAGTAATTTGTCACTTGTCTTTAACTGTTGCACAGGAATTTCCATCTGAATATGAGGAAGAACTGCTTTGTTGTGCGGGTAACCCAGCACTGGACCCCTGAGAGGTTGTGGGGTCTCTGTCACTGGAGATTTTCAAGAACCATAGGGACACAATCCTGTGCCCTGTGCTCTGGGATGACCCTCCTTGGGCAGGGAGGTTGGAGCAGATGATCCTCTGTGGTCCCATCCAACCTGACCTTTCAGTGGTTCTGCGTCATGCTTTCCTTCCACCACAGTATGGGCTGGTTAAAGTTGCCTGTAAGATCAATCGTCTGTGTGTAAATAGACTTTTATCTGTTAGCAGAGCAGTAACAGTCACTTCTATTTTAATATGCCTTTATTTTAAATACTTTGTCATTTTGTTTATTCCTTCAGTTACAGACAGAGAATGTCTTTGTGTTCTACACCATCAGCTTAATGTTCTATTTCTTTTCTTTAACTTTATGTTGTGCATGCTTTTGCTTCTTGTATAAGACAGTTTGATTTGGCTCATAAAACTTTCTTTCTAAATAATAATCTGCTTTTAAGTACCTATTTCATGGAATTTTCTGTGTTAATTTTCCTCTTTTTGAAGAAAGTCTTCCGCATCACTACTTTCACAAACTTACTATGTCAACAAATACACATAATCTTGTTTGGAATTTAATTCTATTTGGGCACCACAAATCTTGTTAAGCAATGAACCTTAAGAAATACAGAAAATAACTGGTTGTATTGAGGAACATCTGTTTATAACGATGTTATAGCAATAGCAGCTCCAGAACTGTATACATTTTAATAAGAGATTTTTTTTTGCATTCTATAAGAATGGAGAGGGAGAGGAGTCTACCAGAAGCAAGACTCCTCTTTTTTATGGGTTTCATAAGAGTGTCCAGATAATAACTTCTGCTGAATACTTCTTTTTGTGTAAAAGGACATGCTAATCTTAACTGAGTGTAACAAGAATTGAAAAAAACCAAAAAATACTGGAAGTGTGTTGGCATTGATGGATTAATTTGTGTATTCAATCACTTCTTAAGCTCAGCTAACATTTAAAGAAAAAAACCCCAAATTTCAGATAATGGAATGTACAGTTTAGGTGTCACGCTCAGACGCAGATACGGGATGTAGTAATATAGGATTACATACCCTAATTTCAGGGTATTTTCCCTTCCAGTCAGCTGTTGGAGCTGAGAAGTGAGATAGACTGTGGTTATGCCAAACAGGTAGTTTTGGCAGCTGTTAACTGCTGTCCATGTTTCCTGAAGAGATCATATTCTTAAAGCACTGTCTTCCCAAATGTTATCTTCAGCTTGGAGATATTCTTTCCTTATGCACCTTGCTTACTGAGGCAACACCAAGATCTAGACATTACTTGTAATTCATATGCTCAGAAATGAAATAATGTGACATATTGACTTATGCCTCCCCTGGGAGGGAAGGTATTTTCTTGGGAGTGTTTGTGGATGAGAAGCTTCAGGCGAGCCAGCAATGTGAGCTTTGAGCCCAGAAAGCCAGCTGTACCCTGGGCTGCATCAAAAGCAGCTTGGCCAGCAGGCTGAGAGAGGGGATTCTTCCCCTCCATTTCCCTCTGGTGAGACCCCACCTGGAATAATGTTGAAGAAAAAAGGATGTCTATCAACCAATTTTTTAAATTTGATTCTAATGTAACTCCTTGTTTCAAACTAGTTATCAAAAAAAAGATGCATTTAAGGATTGTGCACTAATCCAGCATCAGCAGTGGTCTTTAGAGGTGCTTAACATACAAAAGCATTTGTACAAGAGCTACAGTTTGCAGCACTCATTAGTTCACTAGCTTGCAACAGTCAGGACAAAAGTACCAAAATGAACTTGCCAGTGATGTGGCTTTGTTTACCCTTATTTGAAGTTTCTGCACTTTGGCAACTGTATCAATTTGTTCTCTTATTCTTAAAGATGATCCTTAACTCAGAAGATCTGACAAAGGAAAATACGAGTTGGTTGAAATTTTGGTCTTCAAAATTATTCTGTACTTTCATGAAATATTGGCATGAGAAATTGTTTTGACTGACAAATGAACATTTGAAACATAATTGTAAAAATTAAGTTTTAAAGTAAATCTGTGGTTTTTCTCTGCAAGACTGAGACATGGAGAGATCACTGATTTCAAGGAAAACAGCTTCCAGTTAAACATTCTCAAACAATAAGCTTGAGCATGTTTCCCACAGCACTGCAGTTTTCTTTTCTGTATGCAGCTGAGAGGCTTTTATAAAACTGATTGGCTTCATTTAGGCTAAGCATGGTGGGGAATAAGAGGCTCCACATTTTCTATACTTATTTCTTCATTGTGCATAAATGTTTAGTATTTTACAGCAGATTTATTGGATGTTTTGGGTTTACTCTTTTAATTCTCACATGCCTCTTGTGCACCTTTTTTCACAGTATTGGAAACACCCACTGTTTGGTTTTATTGCCTTCTAATCAGGAGAATCTTTCCATGAGATTTTAGAAAAATACAGACAGAAGATTTTTGTCTTAATAAATGAGCAAGTCACTTTTAGTCTATGTCCTTTTTTAGCTTCACTCTAAAGCCCTAGAATTTTCCTACATTTTTTTTCATGCTTTGATTAATTCTGTGTTTATTGTCTTGATCTTATATCAAATAAAAGGTTTTTTTGTTGCCTTTACTAATTTCTGTATACTTGCACACCCATTTTAATCTTACTTGACCTCCTCAATGAAAACTTTTTCCCTACCTCACAGTACATAGGAGTGCTTGTAAGACTGGAATTCTATTTCATGTCTAGACAAGAAAGAATTCTTCAGAATTATTTTCTAAGATATTTCTGTTGCAAATTTTGTTCTAAGAAAGGATTTGTTTCTCTCCTACTCCTTCCAAAATACTTTATAATCTTTGGGGTTTTGCATTAATAGATGTTCTTAGTGCCAATACATACCATTGTAGTGGAATCTGTCAGACTTCATATATCAATCCATCCCATCTTGCACTTGCAGTTCCTATTTTGCTCCTTGTGAAGCAGTTCAGTCCTCTGGTTCTTTGGAAAATGCTCTTTCTTTCCCATGCAGATAATCTTCCAGCCTTTGCATGTCTCTTTTGGATAGCCTGGCTGCCTTGTGGGCTCAGCTGAGTGGTCATCTGCAGCTCTGGCTCGTGTTAGCTTTCTGTTTCTTTGACCAGTTGGATTACTGGTGTATTCTTTGCATTTTCCATTTTGAGATATTGCCAATTGTTAGATGCTTCCAAGTGGTCAGAATTCCTCTTCCTTTTTCCCCTAACTTTTACAGTTTGCCTTTTCTTGCATATTCTTAGGCATGCAGAACGTGGCCTGCTGATTATGAGCTGCCAGACCACTTCCCTGGTTTTTGGTTACTGATCTATTCCTTTTGCTTTCCTCTGAGTCAGTGAGGCTGCCTGCTTCTGGATTTCCAAGTATCTCTTAAACTTTCTGATACTGAATGGGCTTGGTAGTTGTTCTCTCAAACCACAAATATTTTTTTCCTTTGCAGCTATCAGCTCAAACATTTTGTAGAGGAAGTTGTTTCTGGCTCAGCAGAAGTGTTTAATGTGTTGTACATCCATTTTATGCTATTCTGATTCCATTTCTACCTATCAGATTTCTAAATGAATAACTGATTTAAAGAGACCTGTCTTGGTCTGAAAGCCACAGGCAGTTTTGTTTGCTGCTCCTGTTCAGGTGCAAATGTGGTATTTACTAGAGATGTGAGATTGTTTAATCACTAGAGTATTCAGTTCAGCAACATCTATGTAATTGCATGTCATAAATTCAAGTTAATTAGATGAATTGTGTAGATTGTGTAAATTCAGTAACAATTTGCGTATAGACATTCCTCTTTCACTGCCTTGACTTAATGTCTACAATGCTACAGAACCCTCAACAACAACACAGAAAAACAAAGAAAATCCCACTAAAACAAAAAAACCTCAACCAGTCAAAAATATACCTTAGAAATTTTAAACTCCTAAACCTTTGTGTGCAAGTTCTGTTGTTGCTGTCTCTAATTCCTTGTTACCCAGTATCCAGCCTCTGCTGGTGCAGGTAATCCAACTCACTCACAGTTGTTTTCTCTTGTTGGTAAGGGATTTAGTGTACAAGCAGTTGGCAGTTTTGTATAAAAGCACCCTTAACTCTATACAAAATGCCATTAAATTAGTAAGAATATTGCAATTTATTAATGAAGATAAGAATGAGAACATTTGGTACTTGCTTTCACAGAATCATAGTTGGAGTGTTTCTTAGAATCATACTTGGAGATAGTACTTAGCAGGCATTCCTGTCCTCTCTTTTTGTCTAAGAATTTATTGGTATCTGAAGTAGACTCAGCTGTTACAATAAGAATATAATTTGGTGCAGCCCTTTACTAAAGCACATTTATCTTAAATACGTGTTTAAACAGTATTTTTGTAAGCTTTTGCTCCAGAATATAAATTTATAAAGTGAAGAAGAGAAAAAGCTTTTGTAAAAATCTGTCTCAGTTTTGTTTTTGAACTTTGATAGGCAGCACTATGAATCCTAGTAGTAATAATACTATATCCATTTTAAGAGTGATTTTACATTTATGAATTCTGTTTAAAAAACTCTGTTTTCTAAGAATGCTAATGAGCTGGACAGTACTTCTTTTTCTTTTGTTTACTCAACTTTCACTCTTTTGACTAAAATCGCTCTATGAATTCAGTAGTTCCAGTTATTAGCTTTTTTTGTGCATAAAGTCCCCAACATGACTCTCATTACTGAAGTTATTTAATGATTTTCGTGCTTTCTATGTACAGCAAATACAAAGAATATCATGCTTGAAAGAGGATTAAGAAAACATATGTCCTGTTTTGTCCTTGATATACCCAGAACATGCTGAAGGCTTAATTTGTACAGGTTGTCCTCAATTTTCATTGTGTGAGGCAGCTATGAAACTAAGTAAATGCAATGTTTGCTGGTTATTTTAGTGGTAGTCAGATGTTTAAATCTGCAATTGGTTATAATGAGCTGCAGAGATAGGTGATTTATTATTACACATGCTAAAGGCTGTGGTTCATTTCTTGTTTTATTTTAGACTGTCAGGCCAAGACTTGGCAAAGTCACCATGTGACATTTTCAATTTATATCTGTCACTACAGTCTGAATAAGTATACAAACTCTCTGCTTTGGTTTTAAATGTAAAATATATGGGCCATCTAGAATGTGAACACAGCTATCTACAGTAAAAGTTGAAGTAAATGGATTTAGGACTTTGCAAGCAATTAATCATGAATATGCTTCTGGCATTATTTTAGAAGAAACAGTTCTAAAACCCAGAAAGTTGTATTTAATAATTTATTTCCTCACCACTGAATTTTACAGTGCTTTGAGCTTCAAGATTCAGAAAAACACGTGTTTCCTAGGAAGATTACCAGAGTAGAAAGTGTACATGGAAACAAACCCTTTAAAGCTGATGTAACTGTCCAAATTGGTGAAAAAGAAGTGACATTCCAGGTATGAATTTATATATTCATCAAATATGCTTTTAAAAAACACTAACTTGTTTTCATCTCTTCAAGAATTTGACACACTTGGTAGTAAAAGTCATTTGCACTGAACTTTTTTTTTTGGTAGTATAACACATGGTATTTATTGGAGACACATTTAGATACTGGAATATTAGTTTATGGATGCACATTATTTTATTTCTAGATAAAGTCATAGTTTCCTCCATGTGAATCATTACATTTTGGATGAAAGAAAAAGCCATTCATTTTCTTTTTTTTTGGTTTATTGGATTAGAATAGCAGAGAGTACTTATGATGTTCTTAATGCTGCTTTCCCTTTTTCTTTTTGTAAAAACAATAGTCTGTCTTTGTTTACACTTCAAATAAAATCTAATGAGTGCTTGGTAATGTTCCGACACAGGATGTTGGGAAAATGGAAAAAAGTAATCACATCAAATATGATTAGTTTGAGTTTCTTCCAATGAAGTTTATGACCTGCTAGGTGGTGAAATAAGTTCTTACTCAGGAAACAGATGCTGATCTGAGAATTTGAAGTTAATGTTGAATTTGGAGAGTCTAGAGAGTCTGTAAAGAAGGTGAATTAGTGGGAGTCAGAGAGATTATAACAACATTGGTGTGGAATACCACAAGCGAGTTTGTACCATGACAAAATGAAGAGGAGAATCACAGCAAATGGGAATTTTTCAGGAAGAGTTGAGTCTGTAGGAACTTGATTCAATTATTTTCTGAAGTAAACATTTTTGTTTTCATTTTGCATATAGGCGATACATTCTGAAAGTACTACTGCAGAATGCCTCTCTTATACTCTCTGAACAGGAGGGCATAAGAAGTTTGTAGATGAAACAGTTTCCAGACTAGAGCAGGAAGTGGAAGTGTAGAGCAAGAGCCTTAATGTGGTGAACAATTTAATCTCTCCAAAGTTTGGGTCAAAGCAGTTCCTCCAGATTTTCACAATACTAATTGCTCTATCCCTTCCACGTTTCTCTGATGAGCAGTGAGTATTGGTGACTTTTTATTATACGTCTCTTTCATGAACGGCCTGAAGTTCTTTGTGTACCCCAATGCTGTAATTGTATTGATTCACATTTTGTTATTTTTTTCATGAAGAATAGGTGAAGGAGTTTATCGATCAAAAATTACGGGGTTTAGTTTTGTGACAGTGGCAGTTTCAAGTTTGATGGATGACCATTATCAGCGAAATATTACAGTAGTTTTGGACAAGCATAACCTAGTTCACACAAAGCTTAGAGTTATCACAGTATAGCTTATTTAGCATTTTGATTTACTTTTTTTTTCTTATAGGTTCCAGCTGGAACTGGAATGTTAAAAAATCATTCTCGATCAGATACTTTCATAAGGACTTCCAGCCATAATCAACTGTTGGCAGAAATGATGCAATCCCATATGGTTAAAGATATGTGTTTAATTGGAGGAAAAGTAAGAATTCAAATTTCTATTCTCCCTTCTCCCCCATGATCTTTATAATGCAATCTAATTAATATTTTTTAACTTTTTAGGGTTGTGGCAAAACAGTTATTGCCAAGGAGTTTGCTGATATACTGGGATACAGCATAGAGCCCATCATGCTATACCAAGTAAGGAAACTATCTGCTGGATGATTATGCTTTAAATATGGTCTTAGAGACTTCCTCACAACACTAAAGGTGTTGGGTGTTTTTGCAAGTCCCAAGCCCTGTCAACCTTAAGAGCAATGTCATAGCCAGTGGTCATTTGGTACTTGTTTGGAAAGAATTATCTGTCTTAGGTTGTCTTAACATCATGGCATAGACTGAAAAACTACAAGATTTAATTAATCTGCTTGCTTTTCACACAGAGATCACATGTGTAAGGTTGTCTCCATAACCCTGAGGAATGAAAGTGCTTAAAGAAAATATGAAGTCAAGGGTCTCCTATGACCTTGTGAGTCAAAATACACCATATAGAACAGGATACACAGTTCTAAGTAATAATTGGCAATGCTGCAGGAAAACATTAGCATCAGGTTTAATGCAACACACTGGTCTCTTTCTTCCATCCCTTTTCTGCTTTAATTTATTCCCAGACAGCATGGAGACCTCCAAAGGAAAAAGTAGCATTGGCATCTGATTTAAAAGTGTACTGGCATGTGGGGAGAAACACTGACAGAGATGGGTGATGAGGTTGAAATGTTGGAAAAGTGAGAGTGAAATAGAAAAGAGAAATACTGATGATGATAGAAAAGACAGTCCATTTTATGTTCTCCTGCACTGCTGAGAACGTCCCCAGACAGGGTCCCACTGCTTTTCCTTTCCCCCCTGTGTGGCTTCAGCTGATAAGGGCGAAGACTTTGAAGCTCTGTCTGCATAACTGGAGTCAGATGGATGACTTCTGCCCTTTTCTTATACTTAAACGTGGCCAAGTGGGAGCAGATTTGGGTTGCAGGTCTACATATCCTCATCAGTGCTGTGCCATGTTCATAACAATATACCAGGATTCCCAGCAGTGCCTACTATCTTTGGTCTAGTAGCCTTCTGAAATAGGTGTATAGTTTCTGAGCTAGAACTCTGTGTCCAGCTGTTCTGCGTACTTCTCTCTGTACTTGTCACTGTAAACACAGTTTTAAATAATCCCAGAAAAATAACTTCTGCAACTTGACAAACCTGCTTAAGGGTGAGCACAGCCTAACTCTTGTATTGTTGCACATGATACAATATTTGGTATTCACCAGCAAAATTAGATAATTATTTGCTAAAAAACATGGCCACTGTTTCTCAACTTCCTACCTTTATTTAGTATGGCTTCTATGAATATGAGCAGATGGTTTCATTTTTGGAGTCACATGAGCAGAGCTGACAGTGGAACCATTTAGTAAGCATCTTTCTTTGAAAGGGATCTGTAATTCCTATAAAAATAAAATCTAGGAAAGGATTTGAGGTCTCACTGAAGGGAGTTATTTGCTTTGGTTTCACCAGGGTTTAATCAAGCTCACAGGGCAAAGGGGTTTTATAGAAAGGCTTTTGGTGATATCAAAACAGTATCAATAAAGCAAATAAATGACTGAAGGCTGCTTGTTCATTGTAAATTCCTGTATAGCCAAGACTAGGTGAGATCCACATATGTGTCTATACGTATAAATGTTTCCTAATGTACATATGTTACATACATTACATAAACTCAAAAGTTTTTGCAAAAAGCAGTGTATAAAAATACATGAATGTAGCTGAGCTGTAAATAGAATTTCAGAATGCATTTGTTTTTCTAAAAATATATAACCTATCAGGGGCTTTGCTTAGCAAAGTAATAGGATAATTTAATTATGGAACAAATGTTAAATTTATACACTAATTCAGCAGTGAAGACTATGAAAGTTTGATAATGCTGTAAGTTTAGCATATTTTTCTACTTTCATTCAAAAAAAGTCTTCTGGGGTTTTTTTTCAGAGAGACATCATACAGTCCTAAATCCATTTCTAAAATTAAGGAGGCTTTTCTTTGTTCTATAGTTGTTATTTACCTTCTGATAATTTTTGCAGGCACAAAGATGAGTAGAGAGACATTAACCTTTGGTCTGAAGAAATAGAATCGTTTCTTCTCAGGCTGACTGAAGAAATTAATTCTTGGATTTTTTTTTAATCTATGTGTGTGTGTATATATATGTGTATATATATATATAGTCTTTACTTTTAGTATTTGCTTCATTGTTCTTTGCAACTGAAGTTGATTGAAGGACCTGAGTAGTGTGAAAAGATGTATTTCTCTGTATTGATTTCGCAGAAAAAACAACTCTAAAAGTTTTTGTGTTGTGAGGATCAAATTTACCTAAAGCAAACCTTTTGGAACGTGGATCATCTCTTATACTAACAGTTGGCTGAGAGAGCAGTTCCTGTCTCATTTGTGATATCTGACATCATTACATGGATTTCTCATTATACGTAGTTCCATGTAGGTAGATTGCTGAGAAAGGAAACTCATCCTGATTAGGAAAGGTTTGTTTTTAAGTTGCCTCTTAATGCAGTTAAGCAACAGCAAATGAGAAGCAGTAGCCAGCTAGTGCTTTGTGGACTGTAACTAGGGAACTTTTAGTCCAAATGCTTAAAATAAAATATTTTCTCCCCCCAGAATTTCAGAAGAGAAAAAAAGTAGCAGTCGAAGTCATGTTATAACAGTTTGCCAGCAACTTGCTCCTTTTCTTCCCTAGCAAAACCAGTTTTGTAAGCATATCACTAGTGTTTGTGTACTGTGGTGTTTTTGTTTCTAGGACTTTTTTTTTTTGCCTGACCTCATAATTTTTTGTTACCAAATCCTTCCAGCTTTTTATTTGAGAAATACTAACAAATGATGAATCCAAATATGCATAAAAAGCAGGAAACATACATTCTTCACCTCATGATTGCCAAGAACATGATTAGTACTACAAGCCATGAAAAATGGCTAGGTTGGAAGCTTGTGTTGGTATTAGCTGCTGCAGGGAATGCAAAAGAAGTTACCCTACTTAGTTTTTCTCCTAAACATATTTTTTCCTGTATACAAACTGCTCTAGAAAATAAACAATGAAATGTAAAACACATAAGTTAAAATGACTGCTACAAATTAAAATAAGCTTTTTGTTTCACAAGGCAATATATTGCTGCCATTTTTTTGTCCAAAATAAGAGGAATAATTAATTCTTACACTTCAGTGACCTCCCCTCCAATGGGAGGCCTTTTTAGCATTAGAGTATTTTAAGATTAGTTTTAATATCATATATTTAGTGATTTAAATAAAACTTTTTAAAAATTGAGTTAGGGTAAATAAATAAAAACAATAAATCACTGAGCAGGTACTTAGCCGTAAAATAAGCTCCTTACAAAAACTGTGCAGGTGTTAGCAGTGGTATTCCTTTTTAATCATCCCTTAACTGAATCTCATTCAACCATTTAAATCACAATGTTATATTCATGTTATATTTCAGAAAATATTTTGCACAAAATGCTCTTCTGAGTTTATCTGCTGAAAATTAATGGATGGTTCTCATGGTTAGAATTAGAGATGGACATGCTGTACAGCATACCAGGCTCTCAGTCAATTCACACTGTATGTTGTTTCATTTCTCTAGAGGTGAATTATCCAAAGGTGTGTTAGTTAAATATTCATTACAGCATTTACTAGCTGCTGAATGCACAGTTCTTAAGCAAGTCCTAAGCCCACATTTTTCTCTCTTTTATAAAAATGTTAATGTCTAATTTGTTAATTATATAGAAAAGAGTGTACGCAGCAGTAAAACAAGAGAAATACAACAGTAAAAACATGGTATGGTTTTGTGGATTTGAATGTGACTTTAAATTAGATAAATGTGGAAGCACTGAAGGAACCAGACTTTGAACTGTTATTTTAGGGCTTTTAAGGAAATGTAGAAAAAGGAAATTATTCAGGCTGTATGATGTAATGTATTCTATTTTTATTCTTTAAAGTTCAAAGAGTTTAGGGTTGTGAAAAAGACATATGCAAAAGCTACAATTACAATAGAAAATATGTTTTTATCTGATTCTGGGTTGTGCTCACAGCACAGCCTGAGCAATGAATTTAGTCTTCCAAGTCACAAAATTATTATTATGTCTTTGTTTCTCTCGTGCTTACCTGTTGTAGGTCAACATCTAAAATATGTGTGCTGGAGGATATGCTAGATTTTGTCTTTGGTTTTTTCCTTGAGTATTATTTTGTGCTAGGCTATTTACCTTTGATAAATTCTATGTTACAGGCTTCTTTCTTACCCTGTTCATTATTCTCTGATGCTTCCAGCAGTATTTTCCTCCTGAGAGGTGGAATGTCATGCTGGTTTGTGTTCAAGATTAATGATAAAATCTTTGCTCCTTCAGGTGGCTTCCATATGAAAGAAATTATTCTTGTTTGCTCCAGGTGTAAATTGCTGCCCCCTTCTGTGCACAGGCTGTGTACAAGTTGTCATAGTCTTGTGTTTTGTTAAAGAGGCAGGCGGGAGAAAAGCTTTTGTTCTTGTTTCAAAGGGGTGATATTGGCAAGTCTAGAACTTCCAGAGACTATGTAGCATTTAGTGAATAGTTTTGTGTGTGTATTGCTAATACTCTTTGGAAAAGTAGTTGAAGATTTCCTGCTAATCTTCCTTTATTCTTGGGAAGAACAGAAGCAGTTTTTTAGGGAGAAAGCACGTACTTGTAATTTAAGAGACTAGATCATAATTATATTCTTCTGATGGACTGATACTTCCAGGATATGACAGCTAGAGATTTGCTCCAGCAAAGATACACTCTTCCAAACGGAGACACTGCTTGGAGACCATCACCACTTGTCACTGCAGCTCTGGAAGGAAAGCTTGTTCTTCTGGACGGCATTCACCGAATTAACCCTGGCACTCTAGCTGTGCTCCAAAGGTCAGCAGGGCAGCTTGGACAGGTTGGGTGCACGTGGTGTGTGAACTGAGGGCATGCATACTGAGACCTGAAGCTGCTGCTGGTGCATGTGGCTTTGGAACTTCAGGAATACTGTAAAGATCAAGCTGAGCATTACAGTTTCAATGCTTAAGAGCTGAAGCAATTCTTTAATTTTTTGTAAACCTAAAATAATGCAGGAAATTTCAGCCTGTTGGAAATATAGAATGTAAGTTTGAATTTTGGAATGAGCTAGATTTTATTCTAGAATTATGAAATCTGAGAATTAGTAATATTTGTTTAACAATTTTAAAATGCAAGATGTCAGAAAACATTTGAAACACTTTGAGTGCATTCTACTTCTAAGCAAGTAGGTTATAATATATGTTACACAGCATACTTTATATTGACTGCAAAGATCTCTTTCTAAACATTATTTCATAATTCAATAAAAAATAAATTAAACTTTGCAGAACACAGTAATAGCAAATACTGTGTTAATAGTTATTTATACTGTTCAGTCAAAATTTTATGCCATGTCGTATGCATCCATCATATACTGCCTTTTTCAAATCAGAGGACATAGTGAGCTTTAAAAGCACGTTACAGCGAAAGTATTTTCTTCTTTCTATTATTATATATATGTGCAGAAGGACAGAACAGAGATTTATACTTGTCTGTGTTTTTGCCTTTTCATCTGTTTAGTGTTCCTTTCTGATTTTTATATGTGCATATCACAAAATAAAACCTGGACTTGTATGTATATTAATCATTAAAGCCAGCTGAAAGATAGCATTTCAAGAAATAAAAGTATATTATTTGTTACAAGCATAACATAAAAGCAGTTTCGTGCCATTTATGCACACTCCACTGTTAACACAGATTATTTTACTTTTCATGTTCTTACCATATGGATTTAAACTAAGTTGATTGACTTTGCACCAAAACTTATGTTATTTTACCTCCATGCCTGGATGCATGTTGAGTTGGTATCATTTTTTCTTTTTACTGAGGTGTATTTTAACTGAGATAACTTTTAAAAATACCCGTAGCTGTTACCTGTAATTTAAAAATTAATCAAAGTTAAGATAGAGCTTATTCTTTATTTTCAGACTAATACATGACAGAGAACTGACTCTCTATGACGGCACCAGATTGTTAAGGGAAGATAGATACCAAAACGTAAAAGAAGAATTACAGCTCACTGATGAGAAACTACAGGAGAGGTAAAGTATCAGCTGCAACTATAGAATGCAAACAACATTTCAATTTTATAATTTTTTCTCTAATAAAAAAAAAAAAGCAAAATGCTTTTCTGTTAAACCGATTCCTTCTAATTGCTAAGAGAAGCATCTTTTAAACATAAGATTCCTCCTTAGCTCTATTTCTTTTTGTCTTATGGCAAAATTATGTCCTGTTTATAGAGTGCTTGAGCTAAAAGGAAAATATTCAATAATGTTTAAGAGAAGGAGATAGAAATTGAAAAGAAATTTTAACTAGGTACAAAAATAGATATAAAGCTATATAGTACCTAATTTTGGAACATTTTATTAAAAGTCTTGGAAAATAAAGCTAAATTGAAGATAAATACTACTTGTTACTTTCTTTTGCCTCATGAGCTAGAAAGCTGGTATTTAATTTACGATTAATATGGGGCAGGAAATCCTAAGGATGGGTTGGGACCCATAATGCTTATTCTTTTTGTTCCTTTACTTCCACTTGTCTGCTAGAAACATTCCACAGATAGAAATGTTATGCTGCAGGGTGTGCATGTGTCCAAACTTTGAAGAGGCCTGGTGGGTTTGTAGCAGGGGTGCACTCATGATATGCCACACATTTTCTCTCAGTTGTCTTGCTGAATCTGATTTTTTTCTTTGGCCTTCATAGTCTACCCTTTAGAAAAGCTGCTTTTCTTTTACTTCCTAGTTGTTTCCATATTTCTGGTTCCCTTTTCAATCAAAATACAGTGGGTTTAAAAAAAATAAGGCAAGAACTGCTTCTACAAAACCAACAAAACCCTCAAATTTCATTCTAAGCCTACTTGTTGCAAATTCTGTCCAGTCTGCAGAGGCCATACACCTAGCTAGATGGTAATTTCCTGCATTTGTTTTATTTGTGTGAAGAACTATATATCAAGGAAATGTTCTATTTGTCAGGATTTTAAGCACAGACTTTGAAAAGAGCAGCGAAAAGCTCCAAGGGCCCACCTGGCATGGTATCCCTACTTTGCATCACACCTTTTACTATGAAATATGTCTGTTGTGCCAGTCTCCTCCCTGCTCTGTGTTCATAGTCTTGTCCAACGTGCTTTCAGGCAGAATGGCAGTGGCTGTGCTGTTTTGCTTAGTATCCTTTAGCTCATATCCAATATACTCCAAAAACCTGGATAGCTCATCACACATTCATCTTCAGAGCTGCCACTCCTAGTGGATTGAATCTCTCTCACAAGAATAGAGATGTACATCTGGATCCTGCACATCCTTTTTTGTTCTAACAATGGCTGTTTTGGCAGTGCTCTCCCTTTAATCTTCATTATCTGTTAGACCATGAGCACCTGTCCAACCTGTCTTTTTTAATGATTGTTCTGTAGACCCTTCTCCTTTGTGTCACTTGTGTATCTACTTTCCTTGTTTTTAGCCTCATTGAGTAACCTTTTGGTTCAGCTGTTCAATGGCAATTGTGCATTGTTTTGGCTACTTTGAAGGCTCCAAAAGTTGCAGGTTTTTTTTGCTGTCCTTGAAAGGCTGTCTCTCTTTCCTTCACATCTCACTGTACTGCTTTTATCTAACCACCTCAATATTTTGTAATATAATGTTTCTGAGTTACTAAGCTCCTAATTATCTGACTGACAGTGATCTCTAATCCATAAGCAAAGTGTGTCTGTTGTGCTAGACAAGAATGCATTTCTGATTAGTCAGAAATGGGGTCTCAGAAACAAACAGATACCCCATTGTGTAGTCATTCTTATATCTGGAAGCTCAGTGGGACCATGTAGCACCATCCTGGATGCAGATGAAAATTCTTGCTCCTGAATTATCTGAAGTCCATTTTGCTGAGAATCCTCCTAGGTGAAGTTTTCATTCTGGCTTTGTTTTCTGTAATGACTTATTTTAAAAAGCGAAGTTAAAATAATGAAAACATATATCTGCTTCTTTGGTTTTGGCTTTGTGCTTCTTTAGCATCACTGGATGACTCCTCTATATAGAGAGGGTGTTGTCTTCATCAACCCTTGAGGAAATGAAGGTGTTCCAGGACCTCATCCTTGTTCTGGTGACTTCCATATTCTGAAAACATCACTCACTGCCTTCTAACTGAATCCAGGATGCAATGTCAATAATTGCTGTTTGATTCCAGGACTGTATTTGTCCTTGCTACTCATCCTTTTCAGCAGTAGTTGTCAGTTACTGCAAACTTCAGTACCTTCCAGTGTTGCAGAATTAATCCATCAAATCATATCTGAGGTACTGACAGCTGATTTAATCACAGATTTTAATCCCAACAGTGCTCACCATCCCTCCTTTGCCTGCAATACATTGGCTTTGGAGAAGCTACATAGAGTATGTTGTAATATGAATTTATTAGCTGACTGGTTGGGCAAATTCTTATCCAAATCACATCTGGGAGATGCTCTCCATATTGATGAGAGTCACATGCCAGTGACTGTGACTAGTGGCCTTAGCTGGATTTCTGAGCTTTTTTTATCCTGATTTGCTAGATTTGACTAAAGTAATTTCAGTGTGATGCAGTTTGCCAGGCCTGTGGAATAGATGATGTCATTCTCGGTTTTGTTGGGACTGAATCTGTAATGTTCGAGTGACACATTGCCTACCTAATTTTCCAATAAGGGAATATTAATATGTTCCTGCATTTTTAGTGCCTTTAATCTTTAGTGCTTCAATAGTCAAAATACTCTGATGTGTAGTAGAAGAGAAAGAAGAAGATCAAGATGTTTTCTTGTGTTTTTTTACTAAAGGGATGGTGTTTCAGATCATGCTGTGATCTTGAGAAATCACATGCCTCTGTGTACAAATGCAAACAGTATTACAGTAGAGAATGGGAATGTGCTTAAACCATGATGATGTTATTAGAGGTGCTGGACAAAGAGGAATGTATGATTTGATTTTCAGATTGTTTTCAGTTTTTGCAGATTAGAGCACTATTATTCACGTGTCAAATATTTGACAACATTTCAAAGTTTTATTACTTTTGTAAGAGGTAAAAAAGTATATTTTGATTTTAAATTAGGTTAATTAGTGTCATTGAGTAATATGTTCACTATTATTTCATTACATTTCTACATCTGTAGAAAAATTTCCATTTTTCTAAGAAGGGCTTCAGGCTGATGGATAAAATAGCTCTTTCAGGAGTGACAAGTGCCAGCAGTGCATTGCCTTTGGGACATTCTGAGATACTCCTTGCCCTGCTGAAAACCTGTAAGCTGCAAAGTAACTAGTGGTGGCCAGAGTGTCCTTTTTCCTATATTCTTTATTATGCCAGTTTGGCTGTGAAGTTAAGCTACCAAATGGTTGCAGAACTCATTCGCTCCTCTGAGGAAACTAAGAATTCATGTTCATGAGTTTAAGGAGAAGAAAAAATCTGCCCTTGAGAAACTGACAGATGGTCCTTAGAGATATTTTACATAGAAGGAAATAATAGCTGCTGATAACTTATTCATTTAATGATTGCATGATTCATTTCCCCGAACAAGTTCAGAAAGTAAGTGTGTCCAAGGAGTGCATATCCAAGACTTCTGCATAGAATTTCTTCTGTAATCATCCATTACTTCACCCAGACAGATGCTGTAAAGGTAGCACACGGCCTTTACAGATCCAGCAGTGAAGTGTTTGTTGGTCTCAGGATGCAGTATATAACCTGTTTGTGTGGGTATACCCCTTCAGCACACACAGATGCTGAGTTCTTGGTGTGGTGAACAGAAAGGCAGCTATTATAGGGAAATCTAGGAGTAGATGCATAATAGGATAGTTGAAAAACTAAAATAAGTCTCTCTTAATGCATAGGTGGTTTTAATGCCTTGCAGAGAGTGGAGTCTTTTCTATGTGGTTAGGTTGAAAAGGAATGCACAGTAGATGAGACAGATGTGTGTAATTGTGGCATGGAGTAAATTTAACAAGTAATAGAGTTTTTAATTGCTTGTATTTTTTAGCTTTGACTTCATTTGTTGTTTAGGGGTTTGGCTTTTTTCCAGTTAAGTGAATTTTAAGATAAAGGCATCTGTTAATTTTAGACTGTGGTGAAATTTAAAAGAAACAGTAAAAAAATAACAATAGGTCATTTTGGTTCTAGGGTTGGAATAATTCCCAACTTACAAAATCTGATAAAAAATGAGATTTATTAAATCATATTACAGGAAGAGATAATCAAAGATAATTTAGTCTTACAAAAAGTGGCATTAGAAATGCCATTCTGCATTTTATTTTATTTTGTTTTTTTATGAGGAGCTTCAATTGCTCAGAACCATGATCAATAACAATAAAATCTTTCCCTAAAATCACCCTGATCTATGTGTGTGATTTTCTTTATAAGAAAGATGGTGGTAATCCTTAGCTGAAAAAATAAACAGTGATGTCAAAAGAAGGACACTCATTTTATTAGGAGAATGCCTTGCTGCCTGTATTGTCAGTAAATGTTTAATAGAGAGAGGGATAGACTCTTAGCATGAATCAGTTAACATCAAATCTTCCCACCATGTTTGAGGCTCATTAATTTCAAAGATGCCAAGTTTTTAACAAGTTACATTTACTTTGCCTTCATCTGTAAAACCCACAAGAGTTCTTGTCACATCAAAGATTTCTTTTCTGTGACCTAAAGCTCCATGTAGGAGCTCTCCATATTGTGCTCTTTTTGAGACTTGATCTGTAATGTGATGGAACAACTTTGAAGCTCTTCAGTTGTGCTGATGGAAGATGGGAACTTAGCACTGCAGAACTGAGTCATTCATGGTGTTTGTTTAATAATACACTTAGCCTGATATTTTCAGCATTGCAAACATCACTCAAACAATGGGCTTTTGAAAGAGCCAAATATTTTTTTTTCATGTTTACAACCTGGAAACCTACAGCAGTGATGTTGTCCAAATCTAGAGAGTACATGAGTGAATTGAACTGATATCACCAAATTAGCTTTCCCTGACTTTGCATCTCATCTCCTCCCACTTCTTTCCTGTCCTCCCTGGCTGTCCCCACCAAGTGCTTTGGGGGCAGTGAATAGGAAGTGATATAAAAGAAATATGAGTCCTACACCTTAAAAGTTGGTTCCTTGTGTTCTCTTATGGTGTTGTAGAAGGGCCAGAATTTGATGGATATCTGGAGGAGGGTTGCTTTGTTTCCTAGTAATGTTAGGGAAAGTAAGTCTGAAAGTATATGTATTTATCCTATCTAGGAAATGTTTTCTTCTGTAATAAAGTTGGCTAATGTTCCCTGACCTTCTTTTATGCTTAGTGACAGTGACATTCCCATTGGTTTCTCTTTCATGTGATGTTTTTAGACATCTATTTCTATTTTTATCAATCAGGGAGTAGCTTCTAGGCTTATGACTTTCAGCTGAGAAAAACTCATACCACTGCCTTTGTTTGCTTTGATACAAGAGACTGCTGTAATTGCCCTGTTGTATCACAGGTTTCTTGTTATGATGTACAGATGAGCCAACTATGCTGTAGGTTTGTCAGTTTATGTCTTCAGTAATTTGTATGGAAAATGACATGGTAGCAGCAATATAAACTGCCTAATCAAATTTCACTTGCTTTTTCCAAATGAACATCCTGTATTTTAATAAGAGTACTATAAAATTAGTTGATGAAAACAGGCCCATCTTGGACAAAATTTGACTGGCTTTTATATTCTGATGTGTTACTCCATTGTTTCTGCTGCTTCTGGAGATGATCTCTGTTGGTCAAAGCATGGTGCTAATAACACCAAGGTCACAGCTCTGATCTCTCTATGGGTCATTCACTTAAGAGCTGGACTTGATGATCCTTCTGGGTAGTTTTCAGCTCAGAATATTCACTGATTCTGTGTGATGCTGTGAGCTTGCAGGTGTGCTGATTAATGAGTACCAATAAGTGCCCAGTCAGAGGAGGCGAAAATATTATAGAGACTAGGGATACAGAAGATGTGAAGGTGGCAAGATATCAAAATCTAAGGCAGCAGTCTTTTAGCGCCCTAACATCTAAAAATTGTATATTTAAGTTTGTATTGCACATTCCCATTATCTTCAGTGGAGTCAAGACTCTTCGTTACCAAATCCTCAAGTGAGAACTGGGAAACACTGGCTTAGGGTAGGAGGCCAGTCCCATAAAGAATTAAAAAACAATAATAATAAAAGTACCTTTTACAGCCAGGAACAGTGTGTGCTTTTTCACAGGAAGCTGTGGAGGCAGATAGGATGAAGGGAAGTTCAGAACAGTGTTAGAAAAAAATGTTGGGCAAAGAGAAATTAAAGCAAATAAAGTTCTATCCTGTGATGCCTTTGAAGATATGGTTGGAGGTGCTGAAAAAATATGAGAAGGGCAGAGTACTGGTTGTGGCTAGACTTTTGTACTTGGTTGATTTAAGGAGCTGGTACAGCAATTCTGAAGTTCTTGTGAATCTTAATCTTCCACTATAAAGACCTGTCTCCTCATGCTGACTCTAAAATGAGCCAGGGGTGAAGTGACTGGTTTGGTCTTTGAAGCATAACTTTCAGGAGTGATATGAAGTTAGACATATTAATCCAAGGACCACAGAGAGCATCTGTAAGGGAATGTTCCTAAAATGTTACTAAATTCAGCTCTTCACAGTATCTAGGCAAATCTCTACAGTGTCATCCTTTCTGTCAGTCTAATTCAGTAAAAGAAGTTACTCATTACTGCAGCTCTGGTAGGTCTTCTTTTGTGCCTGAGTTGCCTGTGAGAGACCCTGTTCTGGGTAAAGCACTTGTAAAAGTTCATTAAATGAGTGAGATGTTCCCATTTCAGACATACAGCACAGTGCTCTGTAGCTTAGTTGGTGGTATTTGGTGGTATTTCTCCTTCGTAAGGTGTGCAGGTCCTGTTGCAAATGAAGAGACTTGGGTAGACTTATGAGCATTAAGAAAGTGTGTAAATTTTAAAAATTTCAAGTCACTTATGCAGCCTGTGTCTTTTTTTAAAAAATAAAGTTGCATTGCAAATGATCTGGATATACTATGATATATTTCAGCACAATAATTTATCTTCTTCTCATTTATTGTAAAAATTAAATCTGAAATTCATTCCTTAAGCCAGGTAATGCATTTTTCAACTCTTTTTTTGCAGATCTATCTTTCCGATCCATCCTTCTTTCAGAATAGTGGTCTTAGCAGAGCCTCCTGTCATTGGAAGTACTACCCAGCAATGGCTGGGTCCAGAGTTTTTGACACTGTTTCTGTTTCATAATGTTCGATCTTTAAGCAAGAGTGAAGAAATTGAAGTTATTAAACAAATGGTAAGTACATTCAGTACCTTAGGCACTTACTGAACAGGATTATTTGCTACTTATAAAATATATTGCTATTTCAATGTAGCATAAAGGAGCTGATTTTTGAAGTTTATCAAAGCAACATACCTGCTTATCTTTTAATGATGTAATTCTTATTTTAATATCAAATGCTGCTGTAATAAAACATACTCTTTGTCATAAAGCAACTGTGGCGACTCTGTGGTTATTGCATACATGAAACTTGGATATCTTGCAATAAGATTAATACTGTTTTTTCTTTCAACCAGATTCCAAATGTACCCAGTGCTGCTGTGGAAAAGTTGTTGTCAGTAACACACAAGCTTCGGGAGACAAATGATGCCACTGTGAGCCCTTCTTCTTCTTTTCACTTTGCATTTACTGTCTCCTGCTGTGACTGTCTTTACCAAGGCTAGGTGAAACATGCTAAGCTATAGTGTTATTTCAAAGGCTGCCTGATTGGAAAACCAGCCCCAGAAAGCTATTGCTGGCGATTACTGTGCTTCTTTGATTTATGATATATGTATTTGGAATCTCCCTAAATTTTAGGAATTTGCACAAATCCGAGAGAATTGAAAACAGAACACAGTGAGTTTAGGTATGTGGCTTACAGTGAAACATGCTGAGGTGCCTTTTGAATGTGTATGGATATAATCATGTGTTCAGGTATTTTTTTATTACTTTGTTTAAGTAATTGGAAAATTGATAGCTGAGGTTATTGGGGCTTTTTTGGCAATAGGCACTATGTAGTCATTATAAAATGACTATGGGCAGCAGCAGAGATTCAGAAAATAGAATGCTCCAGAACTCCTGGCTGCATTGCTGCTAGAGGCTATTCTATTAAAGAAGTAATGTCAGGAAAAATAACTTCTGCTGACAGTGACCACAGAATTCTTTAAAAATACAGTTACATCATGGTGAAAAGAAAAAGAAATTATTGCTATGGCAGCTAAAACACAGCATACCTTGGATGTAAGTAAAATGTAAAACATTTTTGGTGGAATCCAGCAGTTGCAGCTTAACTGGTACTTAAGAAATTAATTTGCTGTCCTTAGTTTTCACTATTTTAACGTTGATAATAGTTTTTATAGTTTTTCTATTTAAGAAGCTGAGAGAGGCTGTTATGTTCTTTTGAGCTTAAAAAAGTAAGAAAAAATTGACTTTTACGTACACTGTTGGGGCAGTTGTTAAAATCATCGATTGAGCTTCCTACATCTAATGTATAAATGTATCAGTCTTGACATACTTGGAGACATATAATGTCTCAATGGAGCACCACAAAAATCTTTTCCATATATGTGGATATCTGTAGAATTGTGAAATATCAAAATGAATTATGTGATGCTGAATGAGAAGTAAGTCACAGTATGGTTCCAGAGAGGATTCTTGTAGATCAGTGGTGACATGAGGCATGTTAGAGACAGCACACCTGTGCAGAGAGGTGGAATGTGTGCCCAGTGTACATTAGGCTATTTATAGAGTTGTCTAAGTAAATAAGTGTCTGCCAGAGATTATACTGAAGTATTAACCATTGTTTAAAATTGTTTTGTTAACAATAGAACACCTGTAAACTGTTCACTCTGTGGCAATTGTCCACATCATTGTAATTGTTTGCTTGATTTACAATAGAATCTGGAGGCCACAATCAAGATCCTGTTGAATTAGATGCCTCATAGATACATATTTAAAAAATTGTCACTCACACAATTTTATGTTTGCAGTTGTTCAATATAAAAAAATCCCAAACAAATCAGGTAGTAGAGGAGGAAATTTTGTTGACAATACTTTCAACTACCAGTTGGAAATACTCAGAAGACATGATCCAACTTTTCCTCAATGGTCCTATCCTCTATGGATAGTAAGGAGAGAACATATATCCTTGCTCTTCCTTCAGGCGTGGCTGAGTAGGTCTTGAAGTAACTCATGAAATGTCATCATTTACAGTGCTTGCTTGTAAACTATGGTTGTTCAGAAGATGCTTCACAATCTTCTGTCAGTGAAAGCAGGAGGAACAGGAATAGTAATCTTTGCAGTTACCCCAATTTAAATAATTCTTGCTCATTGCTCAGAGATATGCTAAAAAGTATTATTCTTTCCTTTCTCATAATTTGAGAGAAGTTTTTTGTGATTTCATAGAGCTGACTTTTTTTTGCAGTTAGAAATGCAGTTAGACATTCTATATAAACTTGTGTAAACCCAAACAAAACATTTTGAAATTACCTAATTAAAATATTTCACTTGACCCAGGCAAAACATGGCGTGACTTATCAGATCACACTCATTGTTGTGTGTTTCCTGCTAAAATAAGGAACCTATTTGTATTAGATACCTTCATCCGGTAGATATAATTATAGAATGATTTCTTTCTCAGTCTTTGGATCCTTCTGTAAATACATGGTTGCTTGTTTTGTGCTTCTTTCTGTTTGGTTTTTTAAATTTTGCTGTGTTTGTTTGAGGTCTGCCTTCCCCAGCATTGAATAATTTCTGTAAATCTTTGCTGGTTCATGTCCAGTTTTTAGCATTTGTTTTAACATGTGGACAACAGCAAAGGACACAGTGTTCCAGTAATGGCCCGCCCAGAAGGCATGTGCAGAGGTGATACAATCTCCGTGCTGCTGCCCAGTGTTGTCTTGTTTATATGTCTAAGAATCCTCCCAGACCTTTTTGCCAGAGCATTACATGTGGAGCTCATATTTAGTTTGTGAAGAGCAGATGACTTTTTAGCACATTGATCCTTTCACAGTAACTAACCTGCTTTTTTTTGCAGATATTAAAGTTAGGGTTTATATAGCACATAAAATTCAGTTCACAGCACATTTTTCTTCCTGTTGCTTATCAAGTGATATTTTAAGGCTAATCTTTTGGTGACATAATGATTTCCATGACAGTGACTAACTGCAAAAATACAAGCTTGCCTATTAAAGTGCGCGATTTGCTGTAGAAGGCGCAAGCATCTATGAATCTGGAGAAAAGTTGAAATTATTCCTTTTGGATTGCATTTTTCTCCTGACTTGTTTGCTCTAAATCCCTCACACAGATTGAATAATTAAACTACCCTGTATTCTTTGACAGGCACAGTCACTGGCCTCGTTTTTATCTACTCGACAACTGTTGCGAATTTGCCGTCGACTGTCCCAACATCCAGATGAAAGCCTTTATGATGCTGTTAATAAAGCCTGCCTTTCCAGGTAGAACTGCTAGATTTGGTGGAAATTCCAAGAGCTTCTTGGTCAGTTGCTAGCAAGCAAGATAGCTTTTAATGTGTTTTAGTAATTAATGCAATTGCTGTCTTGCTCCTTGAAGTTAGTAATTTCTTTAAGAATATTTCTGTGGTATTCTCAAACCTGGAAGATAAGTAGAAAGGAGTTGGTACGCTTTTCCCATCTTTATGAAGATATGTCATTACATTACATAAATTAGGTCACCATTAGGAGCATAGCTTCACTGTCTAAAAACACTCAAAGCAGAGCCATATTCATGTCTAGTATGACTTAGGTTTCATAGACACTTGGTTTCAGTTCTAAGAGCTGTATCTAGAAGAGTTACGAGAGTTTTGCTTGCTTTGAGATTTAGTTTGTGGGTTTTGGTCTGTTTGGGAATTTTTTGGGGTTTTTTCCTCTTCAAAAAAAAGCAAGTTGTTATTATCAAAAGGTTTGGAAAACTGAAAGGGTCTAGTTCTAAACACCTCAGAGCTCACTCTCTCTCTGAGATCCAAGGGAATTGAGTAATGAGAAAATCAATTGTTTCTGTTGTGGCTCTTCCTTGGAATAGAATGAGGACATTACATGCCTCCAGTTCTAAACCTCCCTCCATTACAACCCTATTGCAATATTTGATAACACCTTTAAAAAAGAGTGCACCACCACAAGTGTAGCTCATTGCCTATGAAAGAAGCTCAGTTCCTCTCCTTGGGGATAGGTGAAATGTGGAAGGCTTTTTTTTGAAAGGAATAGACATTCAGAGTTTGGAGGTGCTAGTGAATCTTCATTTTAGATTACCAATTACATTAGATTTAGATTTTTAGATTATTGAAAATACCGAAAACTTTTAAAAGAAAAACCCTTAAAATACAGCCTCCCTATTATTCTCCTTCTTTTAGATTTTTACCAAACCTTGCCAGATCAGCTTTACACAAAAATCTGCAGGATTCTGGTATTGGAGCAAGTCCAGATGACGCAGAAAAACTAGAGGGAAAGGATTACACATGTAAGTTTCTGTTTTTTTGTTTTCCTGCTGTGCATGAATGTTACTCAAATTGCTGGATGTATAAAGGTGTACTAGTTATCCTCAAAAATAAATGTAATTTGCTTCATTTGTATCTCTTTGTTCTATCAGAATGTGTTGCTGCTCTCAGTATATTGTATTGTCTGCTGAGTTTCCTGCTCATGGAATTTTGTTTTCCATCATGTTTAAGTGTTTCTCAGTCTATAAGATCCATGGACTCAGGCTTTTAGTACTGCTTTTTCATTTTTCATCACTGATAGTTAGTCCTCTGTAGAGTTACAGCCTTACTTTGATCTTAACATTTTTCTGTTCCGTTTTTTTACCATTGCTTCTTTCTCTTCCCTCTTAAAATCACCTTTTTTTTTTTTTTTGAGATTCTTGTAGTTGTTTTGTGCCATCATTTGCTTTCATACTTGCACACACTTCTTTGTTATTATCTTTAAATTGCTGTAGTAGTTGCATGTCACCTTTATCGAGCAGGTCTTAGTTTCTTTGGCTTATCCAACTTGTAATCATCTGTAGTCACCTTCAGGGCTATGCGTATATTTCTGCCTCTGCCATTTTTCTCACTTCTGCTTTCTCATTCCTGTGTGACCCCCTTTGTGCTAGCTGTATATCTTTTCATATCCTCTGTCAGGCAGCGTACTGGCAGCAATTTGCCATTTTCCATTCATATGTTTTTCCTGTTCTCTGCCTCAACAGTGTTATCTCTGCTCTTGTTCTTCTGTATGTTTGTTCCCAGGTTTGTGATGTATTAGATTGCTGTATTTTTAGTGTTAGGTCTGTGCAGTGGTGAACACATCTTTGGTTTTAATTCATGTGGATTCTATTTTTATGAATTTATTAATGTCTGTGGATATAAAAGTACCTATTTTATATGATTTATTAATATATAGATTTTGTATCTTTCATATATATAGATTTATATATATATCTTTTATATCATATAAATATTATATATGTCCTTTATAAGGTATATTAATGATATATAGTTTCTATTATATGCAGTACAGTATGTGTATGCAAGTATGTACAAATATCTATGCAGCCACATGTATATACATATATATCTGCAACCATCTATGTATTATTATATGTCTTATTCACATTATATATAATCTGGATACATCCCTTGAATTTTCTGTGTTTCTCTGTTTCATGCCATAAAGGCAAACAGCTAAAAACATCTGTTTAGAAATAAGGGCATTTTCAGTTTTATACCATGCCAGATTAAGAAATTAGTAGCAAAACAAAAAATTATTTTTATTGCATTTTTTATTTATTACACTTATTTTATTTTCCTAAGTACTGAATTTATGGTTCTTTTGATCTATGAAAAGTTTTTTAATGTAATTTTTCTCTCAGGGCTGTAGTTGAGGGGTGGTGCTGAAAGGGAGATTCAGCAGTGGCTCTGTACTGTTGTGGTGGGTGTGCTCCCCCTCTCAGCTGAGCCCCCACAGGGCTTTGTTACCTCATGTCCGTGCCTCACTCCACAGTGGGACAGGGGAAGACAGAAGAACGGAAGTGTGAAACCTTGTGGATTGAGAAAATATAGCCTAAAAGTATTGGTGATGTTCCAGTAATTCAAGGAGACTGTCAAATTAGACCAAGGCAGTGCTCACAGTTTCTGTGTTTCTTATGGTCCTTTTCATGTAAGATCACCTTTTCATCATTTATTGTAATACACTTCTTTACAGTTTTAAAGAGAATTGAAATTCATGATAATGAAGCATTTTGTAAGTTGATAGTCTTCCAAGTGTTTTCTCTCTTTGGATAGAAATCATTTACTGCAAACCAGAGCCTTGTTAGAATCTGTAAATCGTTACTTGCGAATGTTAGGTATTGATTGCATTGTCTGCTTAGAAGATGTTGTAAGAAATACATTTGCTTGTTTCCTGAAAAATGGCTAGGTGAAATAAACAACGGGATTCTGAAGATAGGCTCTGTGACCATGCCAATTTATAACTCAGCTGAGAAAATGAAAGTGCCAGATGTTTTGTTTTATGAAAATGCACAAGTAAGTAAAAATCTCTGACTTCTTGAGTTAGAAAAGTTTGTTAAATGTATATTAATGGGTATGCTCATAGTGTAGTAAATAATGTACTAACTAAATTTTAAGGATATATTTCTGAAGTAGTTTCTTTAGTCTTAAATTTTTCTCATAGCATTTGGTGGTCATTTTAGACATATCTTCAGCCCCCCGTGTGAAGAGATTATAACAATTCTATTGAACATGTTATGTTTACTGCTGCTGGACTGATCCACCCTTAGGGCTGGATTGTAGATTGTATCCTGAGACTGTGTTTTACAGGCCTGTTGCATAAAGTTGTACCTCCCTGGGTTGACCTTGGCTGAACTCCAGGTGCCCACTAAGCCACTATCATTCCCCCTTCCCAGGTGGAGAGGGGAGAGAAAACAGGCTGGAAAAAAACTCATAGGTTGAGGTAAGGCAATTTATTAAGCAAAAGCAAAACCAAAAATTTCTGTGTGCACAATCAAAAAGACAAACCAACAATTTAAATCTCTACTTCCCACTAGCAAGTGATGTTCAGCCACTTTCCAGGAAGCTGTGGGCTTCAGCACATGTGGTGGTTGCTTGGGAAGGCAAACATTGTAAATAACAAATGCCCCCACTCCTACACCTTTTCTTAACTTTTGTAGTTGAGCTGATGTCATATAGTATGGAATATACCTGTGGTTACTTTGGGTCAGTTGGCCTAGGTGTGTCCTGTCCCAGGATTTTGCCTACCCCAGACTACTGATGGGGGGGAAATGCTGGGGAGACAGTGCTGATGCTGAGCCAGCCCTGCTCAGCAGGCGCTAAAGCACTGGTGAGGCTGCCCCAGCTCAGAGCAGAGCAGGACGATCCCCTCCCTTTCTCCCTGGCCATGCTGTGCCTGATGCCCCCAGGGCAGGGTTGGCCCTCCTGGCTGCCAGGGCACTGCTGACTCACGTTCAACTTGCCGTGGACCAGGAGACCCAGGTCCCTTTCCATGACACTGCTCTCCAGCCTCTCATTCCCCAGTCTGTCCGTACCTCCAGGGTTGCCCCGTTCCAGGTGCAGAATCCGGCACTTGCCCTTTTTGGACTTCATATGGGTGATGATTCCTCCACTTCTGATTTGTCAAGGCCTCTCTGCAGGGCCTCTCTGTCCTCAAGTAAGTCTACAGACTTCCCAGTTTTGTGTCATCTGAGAACTTGCTTAGTATCCCTTCCCATTCTTTAGTATCCCTTCCAAGACAATTATGAACATGATGAAGAACAGAAGGCTTAAGTTGGAACCCTGTGGAACGCCCCTACTGACTGATGTCACCCCATTCACTACAACCTTCATACCCAACCAGCTCTATCTCAGCCAGACCTAATACACTCCTTTACCTTATAATTAATATTGCATATTTGAAAGGGAAGGAGAATAGTACTTAGAAAATTAGTTATTAGAGTTATTAATTATTTCTTTTAAATAGTTTAGCTTATTAATTAGACATTAGTGCCAATTAGGTCATAGTAGTAGTAAAGAGTGGTTAATCAATACAAGGAAAAGGAAGGGCCTTGTGACCAGGCTTTTTGGTTTCTCCAGCATCCCGTTTTGTAGAGCAGCTTTCTTCTCTGCCTAGCGTAAAAGCCTCAAAACTGTCAGACAAAGGTATCCTTAGGAAGAGATTTACTCTCTTGGTTACCTTTAAAATATTTTCCTACTGAAAGGCAATACTGATAGCATGATCTTGTGAAATACTTTGCTTTTAGGGGCCTGGTATGGGTTTCCATACTTTCTTTTCCTAGTCTTTTTTGTACCTCATTTATAATTTTTCCCCAGAAAGGCTAAGCTACGTGGGTATCACCTATTGAAGGTGATGACATGCCATGCAGGGGGAACAGATGACAGACTTCATCTTCCCTACTAACATTTCATGTGAGATTTTGTTCTGTTACCATTTTGATAAAGCACATAATTTGAGTCTGTTGGAAAGGAAATCCTGAGTTCTCCTAGGACTTATCACCTGCTTTGCTTTTTCCACCTTCTTTCTTATAGCTTCAGAAAAGTGTAGACAAAACTGTGTTCAGATTTTATTCAGGGAACCTCTGTTAAAATTGCTGCAGAGAACCTCTGTTAAAATTGCTGCTGCTCTGTATCTTTCTTAGCATAGATATGCCCATTAAATGCTAAAGGAAACAGCAACCAAATACCAGTCAGGATAGGTGTTCCAGTTTCTAAATGAATTGTACTCTTATTTTCTGTATTGCTACTTTGCAGTTTGGTGATTCAAGTGCTGCAATGATCATTTAACAAAACCTGGTGGAGAACAAATTTTATTTGAGTTTAGTGCAGTGCTTTCTTACCTAAAGCTACAGAAATAAACTGAAAACAGAGAAAAAATATGTCCTCAGCCCTTTGTAGTACTGCACAGTGTAATGAAACACATAGATTTTTGCCTTTGTGTGTTTAGTCTTGAAACAATTCACATTACAGTGAAATTTAATATTGCCATAAAACATTGCTGTTGGTCCACAACAGGTGTCATAGGGATGGGAATAATTTTTTTAGGTAATATGCCAAATGCAATTTTCAGACAAGGCACTGGGGAACACGGATTGATAAAGGTGATGGATGTGTCTACTTACAACTCCTTTGCCTAAATAGGTAATATTGAATGTGTGCAGGTATCATAATACAATGCTAATTTAAGTCCTGGTGCAAAAAAGGAACCAACAAAAGAAGTATCAATACATAGTATTTCTGGTGGGTAAGCTGCTTTGCAGGGGAACCATAATGTATGTCTATTTGTTAATCTAGGATAAAAAAAAAAGTCATCAAAAGGATGTATTTGTGCCTTAGAAATAAAATTTAAAATTGTAAGCAGTGTGTGTGGTAAACTGACTTACTAGAATTTCTCCTATATCTGGTAAAATTTATTTTTCTCAGTTATAAATTTCTAGTGCAAGTGCATACACATGCAAAAAACCAGAATAATTTGCCTTGAAGTGCTCTCCTTAAATTGTGTGTTGAGCATTCAGTAGTCTTTTGAAATGCCTGGTTAGGATTTCACGGTATTAAGCTATGTTTACAAGAGTCTTTCCCCACCCCCAGCCTGTGTTCTAGAGAGATTCGGAAATTTAAAATATCCTTCACACAGAAACAAAGGGTTTTATGCTCAGAAATTATAAGCAAGCTGCTGATTTTTAATTTTTATATTAATCAAGTCCTGGAGATGAGATGATAATGTATTTATTTAAAGACAATCATTCATTTCTCTAAGTAGGTTGACTGACCTACTTACAGATGACCTATTTTTACTAGATACAGTGGAGAAATATACATGACTTTATTGTGAGTAAAGCAGTCTGCATTGCCACATTGTCCTGAAATCCTTTCTATCCATTGAAACAAATCATTTGTGAGAAGCGAGATAAGGTTAAAGGATGCACAGTGTGTACCTGTTATGATACTGGATATATGCAAAAATATACCTGCAGCATTTTGGCTTCAATTAGGCACATATGAACTAATAATTAATAAAAATTTAATAGTTAGGCACATACTGTAAGATACATATAGACACTTTCAGACTTGAATATGCATATTCCTATCTTTATTTTCCTTGAAAATAAAGTTTGATTAGAATAGAAAAAGTTAGACCTGGTGTTTAATGTTCAATGATATATATGTGTGTATATGTCTGATTCTCTCTATTTGGTTTCTGGAATGTTCTGCTAGGATATTGCTGGAAGGTTGGCACAAACTAAAGAAAGTTCTTACAGTCTGGGAGACAAGCATTCAGCTAGGCTAAAAGGAAACATACAAGGAATGATTACAGAGAATTAAAAGTATTTAGGGAAATCAGGCTCCCACAATGAGTTTGAGCAGAGGATGTAAATGCTTCCTTGTTCTTATTACTGGATATATTGCCTCTGCTATTATTGGCTGAGAGGCTCTTGGTATGAAATAAGTAGCTCTAAGTAAGTATAAAGTTCAGAAATATCTGGCCCCAAATGCTTGAGGTTAGGTTCCTGTTGTACCACTGTCATTATTGAATGCATAAACCTGAGAGCATAAAATCAAGTGAAAATTTTGGTTTTTTTCTCTAGCATATGATGGTAATGGAAGATATGCTCAAGGACTTTCTGCTGGGAGAACATCTTCTTTTAGTTGGCAACCAGGTGAGTGAAATATTTCCTGCAATGTGTGGAACAAACCCGTTATTCAATAATATAATTAAATCTCTGTTTTGCTTCTTTGTAATTGCATTCATTTCTATTACTGAGGTATTTGGCCCATTTTTCAATTCCTTATTCTACATTGTACAGGGGTTTTATAGGCACACATTTGTGGAAAATGTAAATGCCATAAATGTGTCGTATATGGCTGTCAGAGTAAAAAGTGAAGGAATTAATCACATAATATTCTGAGTTGGAAGGACCCACAAGGATTATCAAAGTACAACTCCTTCTCCTGCAAAGGACCATCCTCAAGAATCACATGCTGTGCCTGAGAGTGCTGACCAAATGCTTCTTAAACTCTGTCAGGCCTGACCAGTCCCCTGGGGAGCCTGTTCCAGTGCCCAAACACCCTCTGGGTGAAAAACCTTTTTCTGATATCCAATCTAAACTTCTCCTGACATAGTAATAGTGGTATGTAACATCGTTAGCATTAAAATCTTCAGTTAATGGCTTTGGATATCATTCTTGACTATGTATCAAACCACTCCTTTAAAATCTCCAGTGGTAGGTAAGAGGTGTACACTGCAGTATTACCCAAATCTTATTGACAGCTAAATACTCATTTTCTCTAAAAAAGTAATAGATTTGTATAGTTCTTTGACTGGTATCTTTGGTTATCAATACCTCATTGTTGAGACTGGTTTTTGCCCCAAAAGTAATCTCCCTTTTGTTTAGCTGTCCTTAGCAAACAATAATTACAATAATTTTTTAGCAGATGTTTCTCTTTTCATTTTGCAGTAGTCTGTAGAACATGTCTAACACAAAGCACTAACGATCTAACCAACATGGCAATTAATATAAAATGCTAATTATTATTAATGTGCATATATTGAAGTATACTCTCATCTGTTCAGCATCCTTGTTATCAACTTGAATTTACAAAGATGGTTTATTTGAAGCCTCTGTAGACTTTTGAAGGATAATGCCAGCGTCTCCAAAAGGTTTAATCTCTTCATAAATAGAAATTGATCTATTTCATAAATGAAACAAGATCTATTCATCATTTGTGTATTTCATAAACAGTGCTGTCTATGCCTGCTTCCAAGCTGGTGTTGAAAATACGTAGTACAGATTGCCTGCAGCAATTGCTGGCAAGGAATAGCAAGAGCAGGCTGAACCACAAGAAAACAGAGGCAGGGACAGAGTTCTTAATGATAACTTTTGCAGTCCCTCAGTGCCAAAGCAAGAGTAGCAGGCATGGGGACAGCAGCCATGGTCACCCAAGTGCTCAGTGGCTGCCAGACTGGTCCATGGTCAATGAGGCAAGTCTGAGATCAAGCTGGGAAGTCAAATCAGCAGGTCCAGGCTGTGATCAGCAGGATACAGGGCCAAGCACAGCATCGCCTCAGTGCAGGCTGGGAAGGAACCAAGGAAAGGGCTTGAGTGTAAATGAAGCTCCCGTGGCATGGGGGACAAAAGGAGCCTCTGCAAAGCAGGAAAACCATGTCAGAGCTGACCTTCAGTACAACAAGTAAAACCCTAGGTGTGGGGAAAGAGCTTGTTTGTACCAGTGGTAAATCAGAGCTCTTGACACATGCCTCATTTGGCAGAAAAGTTTTGAAGACTATGCAAGTACAATTATTAGGATATAATGGATTTTTCCAGCAGATGTATTCTCATTCTAATAATTTAATGCATGTCAGATTTTCTTCCATCTCTTGAGTCTCTACTTGAAGACAGCATTAAAAGATTTAACTGGATTGAAGTATTGGAACATATTGCTTTGATTCCAGACATCAGCTCAGCTGTACCATTTAGTTGGAAAATTAGTTGATTTGCTGCGCTTTCTCTTTGGCAAATCAGAAGGACAGTTGTTTTTTTTTAATTGCTAACATACTTTTGAGTACTTCCAGGTTTACTCTTTACAAATTTGTTCCAGAGTTTTTATGTGTGACTAAGAAAGGACCAACAGGCCTTTTCTTTTCAAAATACTGTTTTCAAGTTTGAAGTGCTGTATTTGCTATTCTGCAGTCTTTTCAGTACCACAGCAATCATTCTTCATTTCTCGGGAATGATCACAAACCACTTAGAAATTCCTTGGCTAATTCCTTAAATATTTTACTGTAAATTTGTGCAGCTTGTGATGAATCATGTTCAAGTACTTTAAAAGCAACTACATTGCATCAGTTGTGCTTTCATGCAGTATGTGTAGATACCTCATTGAATATATTAGTGTTTTCATGAATTTTTTGTAAAGAAAATTATTTTTAAAAAACATTCTTTTTTTTCTGTTCAGTTACTTTTATCAGTTCAGTCTGTATAAGAAGCTAGGGTTTTGTGATGCCTTGATCTATACATCAGTGTGTACCTTTGGAAAAAAACAGATAATGATTTTGAGGAAATACAAAGTACTGTTTTGATTTTCTTTCTCTTAAGTGTCTTATTAGTGAATGGGTGAATCATGGAAATTCAGTGTAATAACTGAAAATTGAAATTCTCTAAACTGGAGTATTTCAAAACATAGGACTAACATCCCTTTGAAAGCTTGTGTCGTTTCCTAGATATTTAATTGAGTTGGCATTTACCTTAGGACATAATTTGATCTTTCAAAATTATGACTGTGTAAGCATCTGTATTCAGATGTGATTTAATGTGCAGGCTTGACCTGTAGTCTTTCTTTTGGAGTCTGGATTTGGTTTTGGTTGGTTGACTTAATGTGTTTTTCCACCTTTGCCTCTTCTATTTTCACAACACATGTACACACACACGATTCCTGTTAGCTTAAGACCTCTGTCTTTTCAAAGTCTGTAAATGTGGTTTCTTCTATAACTTAAGAGCTGCCTGATGAGAACCCTTTTACCAAGACTGTTTGCAAGGTACAGACTCTGATGATAAGTATCAGTAAATTATAATTAAATTATCTTGGTGGATGTTAGGAACTGGCTTTCTTAATGAAACAGAGGAGAGTTTGAAGACAAATGTAAGATGCCAACAGATATTTTTAGAAGTACTCAGCTTCTGAAGTAAACTACTTTACAACACTTCATTCCTGTTTGTTCCCTGGGGCTTATATGGCCTAGGATTTCATGGTATAAATGTTTTACCTGAAATATAAATATTTGTTTACAGTGGTTGATTATTTTCTTTGGATGTTAACTGATGATGAATGTGTTTCCCTTTTGTATACAAACAAACAGGTTTCTTTGAGTTCATATGATATGATATGATAGATACGAATTTCCAATTATGAAATAGCTTCCAAGTAAAGGGCATGCCAGTGCCTTAACTATGGATTCTGATATTGCTACCTGAATGAGCCTGTTGTCTGAGTGTGAATGAATCCATCTATGACCATCTACAGTTTTTCAAAGCACCTGCAAAGCAGCTTCTTCTTTGGCTGAGGGTAAGAAGCTGCATATTACTCTCACACTAGCAGGCAAAGAACAGCAAGAGCCCCCAGTTATTTCAAATGTTGCAATGACTGTTTATGTACTCATTAAATACAGGTCTTGCAGTAGCTTTTGAGCTTCATGAGACAGACTGGGTAGTGATTCTTACTACCTTGGAAAAATTTTAGACTGTGTTTTTGAGATATTTTTCCTGATAGACAATGTGCAGTTCTTTGATTGACCACTACTTGCTGTCTTTTACTGTCTCCTTGGATTTTCTTTGGTAAATGCAAGAGAAACTTTGTTAATAAATTGAATTTGTTTATGTGGAAAACCTTTGGAAATAGCATTGGCTGAAATGATTTTATTTAGTCTCACAATTTTAAAGGTTAAATATAACATTTCCCAAATTGTTGCATTTGGAGGTTATGTAAAGAGATGTGTTGGATGCTTTCACCTTTATTAGTCATAGGTGAGGTCTTGGCAGCCATCATCTGTCTTTGAAGATACCACACATAGTATTTATAGTTACATAGGATCTGTGGCTTTCTGGATAGAGAAGGCTCACAACCCTCTCACTTCTGAATTGTTTTATTGCCATGAAATTGTAAAACACCCAGCAGAATGTTAAACAAAATTGAGGTTATTTTATTTGGCATCACTCTGTTGCCATGAGTTATTGAATAAGCTGTTGAGAAGTAGAATGAAGAATTCTATGAAGGTGCTAAATGTTGTAAATAATCTGAAAGAAACTCTAGCAACACTTGTTTAAAGTGTTGATGTGAACCCACAGTAAGCAGAAATACATGAATTATGAGTACTGTGTCCAGCCTATGAAGGCTATGAGTGTCCTATAGGTGGACTGGAGCATCTCTCTTACGTGCAAAGGTTGAGGGAGCAGGGCCTCTTTAGCTTGGAGAAGGGCATCTTGTCAAATCTTTGGGGTCTTGTATACAAATACCTTAAGGGTGGGTATCGAGACAACGGGGCCTAATTCTTTTCAGTGGTGCTCAGCGATAGGACAAGGTCATCAGGCACAAACTGAAACACAGGAAGTTCCATCTGAATATGAGATAAAACTTCTTTACTGTGAAAGTGAAAGATCATTGGAACACGCTGCCCAGAGAGGCTGCGAAGTGTCCTTCCCTCAAAACCCTCCTGAATGCAATCCTCTACAACCTGCTGGTAGGTGAACCTGCTTTAGCAGGGTGGTTGGACTAGATGATCTCCGGAGTTCCCTTTCAACCCCAACTATTCTGTGATTAAAAGGACTTAGAAATGTAATGGCATTCTGGTACATTTGCTAATATATTTCCCTGACAATGTAATTTCATCCTTTCTGCTGCCTTTCTTTAACTACGAGATCAATTTACATGAATTCTTGGGCTCACACTAGGAATTTATTTTATTGTTGAAGAATTTAGTAGGACAAATGATTGAGTCTTTCTTAAAGATATTTAAAATGACATGCTTGATTAGATCTTTTCTTCTAATATAATATTTTCATTTCTAACTCATTGTGAAATTTAATTAAGTGCAAACTGAGAATGTAATAATATCAGTCATCAAAAAACTTGAAATAGCAAATGCTTGACATTTCAACATTTATAG